GCCATTGTTGCCACCAAAAATGTCTCTAGACATTGCTAAATGTTCGTGAGGGGCAGAAGCTCCCCAGGTTGCGAACCGCTGGTCTAGGCCAGAGGGATGCTACTTCTCTCTGAAGTACATGAGTGTGTGCCTTTCCTTCGGACTCTGCACTTCTGACCAGAACTTCTGATCTATTTTCACTTCCAGGATGTTCCTTTCTTACTTCACTGCACTTTCCAAAAGTTTTCTTAAAAACAAACACCTTTAGTGGCCCTCTCAGCTACACTTAATAAATGCAAAAATATGGTAATTTTGCCCAGGGTAAGCACACTTGCCCTCTATTGATACAGACTCAGACTTGAGGAGAGGAGAAGGTGAAGCTGGTAGGTCACCCGAGGAGCCCTCTGTGGCTGGGTGGCCCTGCCTGCTGTCACGACCAAACTCTGTCCTGGGGTTTGTCTCTGCTCCTCCCTTTGTCTACCCACTGGGAAAAGGGAAAGGGAAAGACTGGTCCTAGAACATCATTTTCCTGGAGTCACGCCCCCTATGATGGTAACCCAGTTCCCTGGGAGCCTAGGCTCAGTTCACCTCTCTGTGGTACACTGGAAAATACCCGGAGCGGAGCTGGGGGCATCAGGTTGGAACCCTTCCTGTGCCAAAGCCAGCCGTGTGACCTTGGGCAAAGGATCAACCTCTGAGCTCAGCTTTCTCATCTGTAAAGTGAGGTTATTAATACCTCCTTCACAGGGTGGTTATAAGGATTAAATGAGAAAATGTTTGTGAAAGAGCTTTGCGTGTTACCAACTGTCATACAAATCCTAATTGGTATTGTTATTATCTGTTGTTCTAAATGAGAAAATGAACAATTTCAAGCCCCTCACTCAGGGAGATCCTCAGCCTGGCACTGTCTGCCCCCAAATCTGCCGAGCCTTACCCAGTCACTGCACCCCATCACTTGTTCCCATCAGGCGAGCCTCCTCCCCTGGCACCATACTTGTTCCTCTGGCTGTGTATCTCTAAGGGACCCTCCTGCCTTGCAGGCCTCCCTCTTTCTTCAGCTGTTCACATCCACTTCCTTCAATACCCACTCCCAACCCACCTCCTCTAGAAGATGTTCCCTCTGATACAGGGCATGGGTTAAGACCCGTTTGCCCTCTTCCCTCAACTGAGTTACCTATAACCCCACAGCCGCAAGCCAAAGTTAAACACAATGGTTGGTAGATCTAGGTAGATGATGATGATGATGATGTATAAGATTTAATTTTTTAAAATGCAGCTAACACTTCGCAAGCGCTCACTCTGTGCCAGGCACCATGTTAAGCATTTTATACAAGTTAACAGATTTTTTGAGCGCCAGCTGGCCATATGGGATTGAAGATCTGCCTCCAGCCCCGGCATGAAAGGTAGAGCCTTTTCCGTTGACCCTGGGCAGAAGTAACATTTCTGCTTCCATGCCCATAGTCTATTATTGACCTAATTTTACTGGCTTTTAATTATTCATTAAAGTGGCTGTCTCCACTTCCAGTCTGTGAACATCTTGAGGGCTAGGGCCCTGTTATATTAATTTTTATTAGCCTTAGCATCCAGTGTGACTGGTACATAGTTGCTGCTCATTAAGTGTTTGTTGAATGAGTGCACAGATGAATAGAGTAATTAACACCATGTCCCCTGATGTTCATGCCATTTTATAAGCTGCCATTTTCCTGACCTCATACTTCAGAAGCATTCTAGACCAGTGCTAGTCCAAGCACGATCCGTCTACAAATTATTTGCTGTCCCTCGTGACAAGGTAAGTGCAGAAATGGAAAGTGAGCATTTAGAATTTTTTAAGCAATTTAACAGTGTTTTATGTCCATTGGATCAAATAGTTTTAAAAATTAAACTTTTATTTTGTGTCTTTATTTTTTACTAATAATTCATTCCCATTGTATTTTGCAATAGTATTCTACAACACATTAGAAATTTAATAATCAAGAACCTGTTCTTTGGCACAAGTAGGCTAAGAAGTATGGTTCCAGACCATCGACCTCACTGTCAAGCCAACAGAATCCTGAAGACTTAGCCCTTCCTTGCCGGGTCCCACCCATCATTACTTGTTATCACATCTGGAAGGACATGGAGTTGTCTTCTATTCCTGTTTGGATTCCTCATATTTTCCCTTTCTTCCAAATCTGGCAGGTTAAATGAATGAAAGCTGCCTGTGGTCTGGGCCTAGACAGGAAGAGGAGAAGGCCAGAGAGGGGTTGCAAGAGTTTGGGAAGGGTCAGGCTGGGAGAGAAGAGTTTGGGAAGGGTCAGGCTGGGAGAGAAGAGTTTGGGAAGGGTCAGGAGGAGAATGCAGAAATGGAGCAGAAGGCTGTCCTGAGAAGGGTGTGGAGAGGCTGTCTAAGGAGACTACCCTGAATCCTCAGGCTGAAGAGGTGAGACTGGGTGGGGGTGTTGAAGGGGGGTGAGCATGGAAGGCCTCCGCAGTATCATCTGAGCAGATGAGAGCCAGGATCTTGAAGGTGGAAGGAAGAAGTTTCAGGACACAGGAAAGTGGATATGGCATCCTTTTACAGAGGGTGGTAAATGCAAGGCTCTTATAAACTCCCTGAGGCGGTCAAGGCCAAAACCATAAATAAGTAGGTAATGAAGTAGCCTTCCTCCTCTCAGCTCAGGAGGAAGAGGGGGGATAAAATGTGCCATAGTAGCTGCCCCTTTAGAAAGAGAAGGTCTGAATCCCAGGCCGAAAAGGCAGCAAGAGCAAGACTTGATTACAGCCTGATCGATGGCATTAGCATATTTAAAGATCAAGTCAAGGGGAAGACTAGAGGGCTCCGAAAAGCAAAATTTGATGGTGTTTAATAAGCAGAGGGAAACATGGGATCTGGAAATCTGGAGCTATCTGGTCCCAGGAGAGTCTGCCCCAAGGTCTCCGGCAGGGCTAGGGAGCAATGCCTCTGCAGCGTCTGGGCAAACCTCCCTGAAGACCCGCCAGCTTTCTCTCTGATTCCACAATCTCCCACTGCTGTGACCTTCTCATCAAGAATTCTGCTTTCCACAAAGAACTGCCTAGAGGGAGGGGCCATGCTACCTATCCATTTGAGTATCTGGTCCCCTCAATGATGACGATAATTGTGATGGTGACTATAGCTAACCTTCTTCAAGCCCTTGTTATGGACCAGGCACCATTCTAAGCCATTTAAAAACAATAATTTATTTAAACATACCTATGAGGTAGGTATTCCTAACCCCATTTTAAAGATGAGAACATTGAAGCACTGTTCATACAGCTTGTAAGCAGAAGAGTCCAGGCTAAACTCAGGCTCTCTGCCTCAGAACCTGCACTACACTAGACCACCCAGCCACTCTCATTGAGGACAATAAATTGGCAATCTGCTTGGTGCACCCATCTCTTCTGGGATTGGTTGGGGTGAGTCTGCAAGACCAGCTCTGGGGCACTAACCAAATGAAGGTTTTGCAAGACTCTAGACTGAGTGCTTCATGTAGATTGGCACCCTGTGTGGCTAAGCCAGTGTGACCAGCAGGTTCCAGGACAATGGCCCTCCCCACTTCAGAGCCCCAAACCTTATCAGGGCCCACCCCTACAGGCAGTTTGAGCTGGGAATCAGGAGGCTGAGGACTAGGCTTACCAGCTATGTGACTTTGGACAGGTCACCACAGTCTATGGGCCTCAATTTCCTCATGAGTAAATTGCATAGTGGCGCAAACCCCTTTCTAAATGGAGTATCAGTTGGACCCACTGAACACACTGGCTCTTTGCCCAATGTGCTGAGAAGTGGGTAGAAGGGAAGAGGAGGGGGGGAACCGTAGGGCACAGAATCCAGGGCAGTTAGGTTCAGAGTTTGATTTCAAAGCCACCACTCTGGGACCTTGCTCCACCGGGGCAGGCTACGAAAGGAAAAACGGGGTAGGAGAAGTCAGAAGTTCTGCTCAACTGGAAGCACTGGAGAGGAAAATTTAAGGGGCTAGAGGAGGCAGGAGCTACATTCCTGACTTGGGGGTGCACTGGGGAACTAGGAGCCCAGGCTGGTGAAAACTCGGAGGTCTGGCCGGGTGTCTGACCCTACCCTGAAGGCTCCGCCGAGAGGGGGCGCTGTGGCCTCCTCCGCGCCCTGTCCGCTGGATTCCTAGCTCCTTTCCCCAGCTGTAACGCAATGCGCCCCCACTTTCCCCTCCGCGGCGTTCAGATGCCGGCTAGACTTCCAGGGCGCCGCCGTCTCCCCATCTCTTGGGGTTCCCAGGTTCAGCCCCTGGGCAGGCGCGTAGTTTGTAGAATGATTGAATGGATAAACGAGAAAACGAATGAATTTAAACGAATGAGAGATGCTTTTGCATCTCTGCGCGCACCTGAAGTGTCAGTGCCAAAGGCACTGGGGGTCGGGCCCAAACCTCTGCCCTGCTGCCGGGGACCCTGTCCTGGCCGGTTGCTGGGCGGCAACTGCCCAAACGCAGTTCCTATTTCTTCGCCGGGTTTCCGCGGCGCCGCTGCTGGGTCGGGGCTGCCCTATTCTTCAGTCTCCCATAGCTTCGCTCTCAGAGTCACCTGAGTCTCCCAAGCCTCCCCCAGACTCCTAAGATTCCCCAGGCCCTGACCGCACGCCGGTGGGAGGTGGGAGGCGGAGGCGGGAGGCGGGAGGCTGCCTCCTCTCCTGTCCCCTTACTCCAGTCCCCGGCTTCTCCTCGGACTGCGGCGGCCGCCAGCGCTGCCAGCTCGTCCCGCCGACCGCCGCACACCCGGCGCAGGGAAAGGGGGTCAGCGCGGCGAGGGCGCGGGGAGCGGCCCAGGAAAGGGGAGAGGACGAGGAGGCGGGGTGGAGGAGGGACTGAAGAGGAGGGGGAGAGGGAGACCGGAGGGGAGGGGACGCCGCGGCGAGGGGGCGGGGAGCCAAGGCGGAGTGGCAGCGCGCACCGAGGGGGAGCCGGCGGAGGCAAAGCGGGCTCCCGGCGGGCGAGAGCTGAACGGCGGCGGGACTGTCCTAGGAAGCGGAGAGGAGAGCCCGCCAGGCCGGGCCGGGCAGCGACAGAGGAGCCCGGCCGCTCACTGCGCCCGCCCGCCCGAGCCCGCACCGCCGCCCGCTCCTCTGGGATGTCCGGAGGACCCAGGCGTCCTGGACGGTGACCGAGCGAGCCCGAGGATGAGACGGCGTCCGCAGCTCCTGCTCGTCAAGGTAAGAGCGAGCCGGCCAGCCCTCGAGCGCTGCGCCCCCAGCCTGGGGCCGGTGCGGGACAGGAGTGGGCTGTAGGTGTGATGTGGGGATCACTGGGCAGAGCTGAGCGCAGGTCCGGGTACGGCCAAGGTTTGAGGGGCAGCCCAGATCCCTCTCCCCGGATCTTTGGAGCCGGCGTTGGGTGGGGGGTGGAGAACCCAGGTGAAACCAGAAATCGTAGTGGCGAAGCTGCCGGGATGCTGTCGGAGGCGGGGGTCCGCCCACCTGGGTAAGAGCTCTGTGCGGAGAAATCGCTCTCGGCTTTGGGAGTCTAAGCTCGAGTCCACCTCCTACCCCTCCCGCGCAGACCCAGGCGCCGGCACTGGAGGCTCAGGAGATGGGCTCTCCAGCAGCCCTCCCGCCCCAGCACCTTCTCATCCACTCCTCCACGCCGCCCGCTCCCGCCCAGCTCCAGGGAGCTCTTTCCCGCCCCTTCCCCTCCGCGGAAAGCCACAAGTCCGAGGAAATAACTGTCCCCTGTGCCTACGAGCCTTTGAGCAATATCGCAGCCTCTGGGGAGGAGCCGGTGCCTCCGGCGGTGGGTACAGTTCCTCCGCCGCGCGGGCCCACCGCAGGCTCGCTCTCCGAGGCTGTGCACTCGCGGTACCCGAGCTGCGCAGTCGCCCGCCCCGGCTTGCTCCTTCCCCGGGTCTGTCGACGCGATTCTGGCGCCCGGAGTTGAGGAAAGTCGCCAGACGCTAGTCCGGCGCCTGCCGGCTGAAGTTCGGGGACGATGGGGGGCTGCCTGCGGGCGGTGAGCGCAGGGGAAGGGCTAAGGGTCCACAGTCGGGCCCACGGCCAGTGTCAGCCGCCACCTCCCATTGCCCAGCGCTTTCCAAAGTGGTTCCGATTGCGGGGTGTGGGCACGTAAGCAGCAGACAGAGGGACAGGCGGGTGGGCCTCCGCGCCGCCGCCAGGAAGATTCCAAGGCTCTGGCCCCAACATCCGGACTTCGCAGGGTCGACGTTCTGAGCCAGCTTGACTGAGTTCAGTGCATTGAAAAGCGATTACATTCATAAGAATTGAATGGGGAGGGGAGGAGTTGACTTAATTTCATTTTCCGTCAGTTATTAAACCAATTGTATGTATACCAACTCATACAGTGGTTTGAGTGAAACCACCAAGATTTTTAAATTTAACTGCTGCTATTTCATCAATTGAGATGTTAGGAGTTATGGGCATCTCCATCATCTTCCTCCTCCCAAATATTTATAAGTGTGTGTGTGTGTGTGTGTGTGTGTGTGTGTGTGTTTCATGACTGAGGGTTGGTTCAATGGACTCCATACCCCCTTATGTCCAAGGACAGGGAGAGGGAGATAGGAAGAAAAACATCCAGAGAGGGCCAAGAGACGGCATTGAAGGGGAATATTTTCCAAAATGCTAGTGTGTACGGAGCTTTGGTCTAAATTCACAAATCAGTTAGATTAAATTCGATGTTTAAATGGATTCAAAAGATTAAACTGGTGAGGTTTTTTGGTTGGTTGTGGTTTTTTGTTTTTGTTTTGTTTTTTTAAGTTTACTTGGTAATAGGTAAATGTTCTTTCTTTGGCCTTTCTTAGAATCCTGTGCAAATCTCTGCTAAGAATTATCACGTTTTCCTAAAAGAAAAAAATATTTTTTTTCTGTTGTTGCCTGTGTGTTTTTCCTACTAGTGGTGAGATGATGGTAATGAACTCAGTAAGTGCTCAATAAATACAGAATGCGTGAGAGGCAGTAATGAATGAGCAACTAGTTAAATAATCACTTTTTTGAAAATGTATGTGCCATGTACAACTTACTGGATGTTGTCTAACCTGCTTTGCAAAAATTACTCATTTAGTCTTTATTACAGCCCTAGGAAGCAGGAATTATTACTGTGGCACAGAGAGGCTAAGTAACTTGGTAAAGGTCACACAACCAGTGAGTGATGGAGCCAGAATTCAAACCCAGGCACTGTGGCTCTAAGGTTTTGTTTTGCTAGCTTTTATCAGAAAATATTATAAGCTACTTAAGTATCATCCTCGACCTCTGCCAGATGAGAACTCAGGTAGTTTCATCAGTATGAAAGTATGAATCTAGGGGAGTTAATCCAAAATCCAGCTCTGTCCCCACCAAGTCAACCAGTGTTGGGAAAGAATCCACTCTGGGGCCCTGATTGTGGGCCTAGCACTGAGCTGGTTACAGAACTGGGGGAGAGTGTTGGGGCGAGAGCACATAAGTGGGAAAAGTGTGTGTGGGTGTGAGTATGCATGAGAGAATGTGTGTATGTGCATGAGAGGTGGTTGTGTGCGTGAATGAGGGAGAGATGATGTGTGTTTGTGGATGCGAAGGAGAAGACAGGTGAAATATTGTCTCTACCCCCAGGAGAGGGGCCATGGAGCACCTCTGAGTCACCTACCCTCCAGCTGAAGCTCCTCAAAGGGAGACCCCAGTGTAGCTCAAAAAATGTGAGTTCTGGTGAGTGTGAAGGGTTCAGAAGGGTGGGTTATTAAAAGAGAGTGAGTTTTGAGGAAGAAGCTGGTTTTATTGCTGTTGTCATTTTTTTTTTTTTTTATTGATTTTAGAGAGACAGAGGAAGGGAGAGGGAGAGATAGAAACACTGATGAGAGAGAGCATTGATTGGCTGCCTCCTGCATGCCCCCCACTGGGGATCGGGCCCACAACCTGGGTATGTGCCCCGACTGGGAATCGAACTGGCAACCTCTTAGTGCATAGGTTGATGCTCAACCACTGAACCACACTGGCTGGACAACTGTTGTCATTATTATAAAAGCAATCCAGCTACATTATACAAAATTTGGAATCCAGGGGAGAAAATTATTGCAACCTCACCCTCCTAACACAGCGATGTTACCATTTAAAAAATAATCCTTGCAGGCCCTTTTTCAAGTGCAGGTTTGGACACAGCTATGCCCATTGGACATGCCCTCTCACTTACTGTGTCACAGCCCAAGTCTGTCTCATGTTATTCCTGAGCTCCCAGAGGGAGATTGTCAACATCTGTGTATTCCCTGTGAATGGCTGTTCTTTGCATCTCTATTATCCGTGCACATTTGGGCCATTTCCAAACTGTTTCTTTGACAAGCTGGGTTGTGAGGGGAGCATTGGCAGGAGGGATGCCGAGGGGAAATACGTGAGCCTAGGGTGGGGCCATGGGCTTCAGCGACAACTGGCCTGGCTACCAGCAGAAGCAAAGTAGGAAAGGGGACCTGACAGCCAAGCCAAGCTGTTCCACTTTGGTATGGGCAGCCCTGGGAAGGGCATGACTTGGGTCGGTCCAGCTCTCAAGGAGGGTATAGATTTATGGAAAAGCAGGACACTGGCCCAGGGCCAGTGAGGACAAGCTCAAGGGGAAAATCCATGCCTCACTCTCTCTAACATTTGGCTCCTTGGAGAGCAGCAGCAGCCAGCAGGGTTCAGCTGCAAAGAAGAAGGAGTTTGGAGGGTCCAAGGTGCCCCTTGGCAGCACCCCACCTGCTCAAGTCAAGGGCCTGAGCCCTGGCCATGGTGTGGCCTAGAAGGAAGGTGTTAGGCACAGGGTTGATTGGTGCAGCTATTGGAGTGGGAAGACTAACAGCCGGGAGATGGCAAACCTGACTTTGGTCCGTTATGCCTCCAGTGGGCTGTGACTTCAGGTAGGTCTCTTTCTCTGTCCAAGCCACAGTTTGTAAACAGGGATATTAGACCTATTACCTTTCCATCTCTGTGAAAGGTCTGTTTCCAAACACTCCTTAGAGCCATGACCCCACGTGGGAAGAGTTGGGGGCAACAGATTCAATTCCCAGCCCTGTTCCTTCCCAGCTGGGGGACCTTGGGACTTGGCATTTGGACCTACATACCCCCTCTGAGCTTTAGTGCTCTCGGCTATGAAATGGGGGCAACACCTAATTCATAAAGTTGAGGTTAGGATGAAATGAATTAATACATGGAAAACGCTGGGGAACAGTGCCCGGTACTGAGTTTGCTTTCAGAAAAGTCGCAAGGTGGCTGATCTTCAGAGGAAATGAGATAAAGCAGAAAAAGCAACCGGCAGCTCCTGGTCACTCGGTCTACAGCATTTTCAGCTTTCACCCTTCACAGCAAGTGTTTGTTGACTAGATGGATGGCATTGCTGTTGCTCCCTCCAGTTTAGTGTTTATTGTGCAGTCGGAGCAGGCTCACTGCTGTTCCCAAGAAAAGCAGGTGTCATGCCAAACAGAGAAGGCTGAGATGCTAAAACCACCCTAGCAGAAATGTCATCTCTGATGCAGGAAAGACTAGCATTGCCCCTTAAGTCCACTGTGGTTATGGAAGGAAGGAGGAAAAGAGAAGGAGGGAGGGAGGGAGGGAAGGAGGGAGGGAGGGAGGGAGGGAAGGAAAGAAGGAAGGAAGGAAGGAAGGAAGGAAGGAAGGAAGGAAGGAAGGAAGGAAGGAAGGAAGGAAGGAAAAGAATAGAAGAAAGAAAAAAAAAGAAAAGAAAAGAAGGAAAGAAAAGAAAGAGCCAATGTAGCACCGGTGATTGGAGAATTCCCTGAGGGTGGAGCTTGGCTGGTGAAATTCCAACCCCTTTGTCTGCAGGAGAGCAGGTTGGTGGCTGTTGACCTGGAGCCTTTTGTGTTTCCTCCTCAGTGAAAAGAGGGGATGAGTGATGTCTCCCATCTCTGACTCTGCCCCAACTGCTCCTAGTACCAACAAAAGGAAGAGTGAGACCATTTTGGAGCTAAGGCCAAGTCGTGATTTTAGCTACCATGTTATATTCAAAGAATGACTTTGTTAGTGACAAATGACTCCTGTATACTTAGATTCTCGGGGGCTCCTATCAGCAGAGTCCCTTGGAAATAACACCGTCAGATCTTTTTTAAATGCTCATCTTTGGGCTTGTCCTTTTGGCCGGCCACCCCTCACCCCACCCAATGTGACAGTCGGCATCTTCTTGTACAGATGTAAACATCAGGTGCAGCAGATGTGGCTTGAATCCTGACTCTGCTATGAAGCTCTGGGCA